ACATGATCAGCTCAAAAGATTCTGGCAGCTAGACGAATTTCGCGATAATAGTACTTACACGCCAGAAGAACAATTCTGTGAAAGGCATTTTTTGGAAACCGTTTCCAGGGATCATAAAGGCAGATATATTGTAAAATTACCGTTAAAAGAGGATTTAGTTGACCTCCTAGGCTCTTCTAAAGATATCGCATTAAAGCGATTGCAGGGTTTAGAAAAACGATTTAATCGTGATCCTCTGTTAAGGGAACGTTATTCCGAATTTATAAATGAATACATAGCATTAGGTCACATGAAGCCTATAACAGAGCATCCATCAGATGAAACGAGGGCATACTATTTGCCACACCATTGTGTCTTCAAGGGCACCGCTGAAGGCGACAAAATACGCGTCGTATTTGATGCCTCGTGCAAATCGGATACCGGGTTATCTTTAAATGATATTATGATGACAGGACCGGTCGTACAAGAGGATCTTATATCCATACTCACGCGTTTTCGGACCTATAAGTACGTACTTGTGGCGGACATTATTAAAATGTATCGTCAGATACGGCTTCATCCCACTCAAACGCGATTGCACAGGATTTTTTGGCGTAAAGACGATAGGGTGGAGGCTTATGAGCTAGTCACACTCACATACGGGACTACCGCCGCGTCCTTTCTCGCCACGAGATGCATTAAGCACCAAGCAGAACAGTTTGCTGACACATATCCAATCGGTTCTCCATGCGTTGCGCGCGATCTATACATGGACGATATGCTCACGGGAGCTGATACGTACGAGGATGCGCTGGCAATACGCGATCAAACTATAGAATTATTAAAGGAAGGATCGTTTGAATTGAGTAAATGGGGCTCGAATTGTCCCGAGCTACTAAAGGGTATGAGCGAGCAGGGCGACAGGCTTATATCCATTAATCGAGATCTTAATTTCCGCGTCTTAGGCATTCTGTGGGATCAGGTTAACGATACGTTCCACTTTTCTTATAAAGCCGCTGCTGTTTCAAAGCCTGTTACGAAAAGGTCGATCTTATCAGAGGTGTCACAATTGTTTGACCCTTTAGGGCTGCTAGGGCCAGTCATCGTAGTGGCAAAAATTATATTACAAGATCTTTGGCAATCCGGTATAGAATGGGACGAATCGGTGCCGCAGGATACGCACACAAGGTGGCTGCAACTTAAGCTACAATTAGCAAATCTCGAGCGATTACAAATTCCGCGTTGGGTCAGAGCTCATACAGACCGCCAACGAATGGAAGTACACGGTTTCTGCGACGCCAGCCAGCGGGCTTATGGCGCATGCATTTACATTCGCACTAAAACCGGAAAAGATAGCTACGAATCCGTTTTACTTTGTACCAAATCTCGAGTCGCGCCGCTCAAGGCCTTGTCGTTGCCGCGTCTCGAATTATCAGCCGCATTGCTTCTTGCTCAGTTAATTCATAAAATAAAGGCATCAATTGATTTGAGGGAAATAAAAACATGTCTATGGTCGGACTCAACCATAGCATTAAGTTGGATCGCGTCCCCATCTCGCAAGTGGTTGCCATTCGTCGCAAACCGCGTGGGGGAAATACAAAGATTAACGGAAAGGGATCATTGGCGTCACGTTCGATCTTCCGAAAATCCAGCGGATATCATATCCCGGGGTCTATTGCCCGACGAGCTAATATGTTCAGAAATTTGGTGGCATGGTCCCGCCTTCTTACAATTGCCTGAAGAACAGTGGCCTAGTGACGAGGTCGTGTCACTTCCCGACGAAAGTCCTGAGCAGAGGAAAATATGTGCCGTTGCTGTATGTTCGGATGACAGTATAGTTAGCAATCTACTTGACAGGTTTTCCAGTTTAAATAAAATATGTCGCATCCTTTCATATTGTCTCCGACTTTCTAAACGACAGAGATTTCGACCGTCGACAGTCGCGGTGTCACCTAAGGAAATGATCCATTCATTGGATGTAGCATGCAAGGTCGTTCAAAGGCAGGCATTCGCAAGCGAGTATGATTCGCTCAGTAAAAACCGTGATATTGATAAAAATAGCAGAATCTTATCTCTTTCTCCTTTTATGGGAGAGAATGGATTGATCAGGGTCGGTGGTAGGTTGAAGAACTCAAGCTTATCATTCGATGCTTGTCACCAAGTATTATTGCCTTCGAGTCATGATTTGACAAAACGTATAATTGAGTTAG